CCAATAAGGTCAGGAATCAATGTGTCATTCATATATATTAGAGGTAACATATATTGGAGGTATCTGAGAGTAGATGTACTTTCTGTCTTGCTGTCTGTGCGCCAAGCCTCAGAAAGGGTTCCACTAACACAGTGGTGTGTGTGTGTGCGTGTGCGTGTGTGCGTGTGCGTGTGCGTGTGCGTGTGTGTGTGCGTGCAGGATTTCTTGTTCCCTTGGCCCGAAGTCACCGCCAGCAGCTGCCACACGTGTCTGGGATTAAGGTGTGTGGGGGGGGAGAGGACACCAGGGCTCCCCCGCCAGAGAGGCGGCGCAGGGAAGCCGGAGCGCGCACTGGCGCCGCTCGTATCTGTTATTCCTTCGAGATGACAAACCTCTGGCAGGCTGCCTTCCCCTCCTCGCGAGCCAGCCAGCTGCCACGGGCGTGAAGGGGGTCCTTTGGCCTCTGGCTCACTCCTCACTTGCGGATCAGCTCCCAGGGACGGACAGCGCGCGGGCCCCTTGCCCATCTCGGAGAGGGTGGAGGGGTGGGTGGGGGCATTTATTAAAAAGAAGAAAAAATTGAGTGCTGAAGAAATTTTCTCCCACCATGAACCTCAGGCAGGCTGGATCTCTGTTGTCTGCTTCTGTGGAAACAGGTTGCAAGGGGGTGAGGAAACGGTGTGCACAATTGGCTCCCCCCCTGCACAAACCACAGAAATATGTGTGCCCCTTGGCATGTCTTGCACACCGTAAGTTTACCTTCTGCCCTCAGGTGGCACTCCCCCATTGCCATGGCTAGGAACTGCCACTCCAGCAGTCTCTTAGACTGGAACACGGATGCAGGATTTGGCCCTTTGTCTCAAGCAGCAAATATACCTACCTACCTACCTATGGGGGGAAAATCAACCACATTTAGACATTTGGGACTTTCTTTCTTTCTTTCTTTCTTTCTTTCTTTCTTTCTTTCTTTCTTTCTTTCTTTCTTTCTTTCTTTCTTTCTTTCTTTCTTTCTTTCTTTTTCTTTCTTCCTTCCTTCCTTCCTTCCT